ACAACTCTGTCTTCTTTTTTAACATCTGTAGAACATATATAGAAGTTTCTTTTTTCATTCCTTAAGATTGGTTTTTGCTCAGTTAAGTCTTGCCTGGAATTTATCAGCTTTACAAGTTTCATATGTTTCTTTACACTTGTTTTCTGCTCTGCTTTTTATTATTTCCTTCATTGGTGTTTAATGTGAAGCTTTGGTCTTTTTGAAATGGATAGTTATTTTCTAATGTGTGTATTTAAAGTTTTAAATTTTTCTATGTATGCCTTAACTGCACCTTTTCAGTTCTGATATTAAGGTCAAATATTTTCTAATTTTCATTGTATTTTTTTGACTCATGTTATTTAGAATTGCATTACTTAATTTTCAAATGTGTAAGAAACCTTTTAGTAAACTTTTCTTGCTTAATTCCACTGGAGTCACAGGACATACTCAGAGCAATTTCAAATTTTTGAAAAATTATGGTCCAGCATGTCAATTCTGATGTGAAATGAATACATATTCTATGGTTGTTACATGTGACTTGCATCTAGTTTTATATAATTCCCTTCATAGAAAAATAAGAGAGTAAAATCTCAGAAAGGCACATTTCTCTTTGCTAATGAAATATATGCATTAAAAATCATTTTGACTAAGTGTAATTTCAGAATTTTAATGGCATTCAGAGCTATAACATCTTAGGTATTAAAAATCAATATTCTGTACATGTTCTTTAGTCAAAGCCATTAGTAATTCAATAAAAATCATTTTATTTTTGATACAATTCTTACAGAAGAATTAGAAAGCATCTATAATAAAAGGATGATGTGTAAGGATTTTCCTTGTGATTCAGAAGTAAAATTACCTCTGGAGAAATCTGCTAATTCTTTGGTTAATCAGTTGTCCACTTTCTAAAACTTGATTATATAAAACCTCCAATTAATAAAAAACATTTTCAAAACACTCTAAAATCAAACAAGTCAAAGAAAATTAGTGCTGTATCTGTCATTCCCAATCATACTTTCTGAACACTATTTCTAATGAGCCATCCAATCTTTGGAGTTTTAGTTAAAATAAAATGGTTAACAACCATTTTCCCAGAGGGGCCATTTAACATCCTAAATGTGACAGCAGAAGACTCTGACTTAGGACTGCAGAACATTCCTAGGATGTGAACAGTTCTACAGAGGTCACTGTCCTCAGTCTTTCAATTTACTTTCTTAAGGACTGGCTTAAAGGATACCTGGTGTATCATTCCATCTGCATCTACCCATTAGCCCAGCACTGCAATGTAGAAAGGTTTTTAAAAAAGATTTAAAAATTTAAAAATAATTCCCATTTCAAAGCCAGAGAAGGAATGCAGTTTTCTCTTGCCATATTTTTTAGTATTTCTGGAAAAAAAAATGAACATTAATTTTTTTACATAACTTGAACTAAATTCTAGTGAAAGGATGTTCTTTCAGCACTCAATGATATTCTTCCTAAACCTTTTTCCCCATATATAAAAATATGTCAGTAGTGTTAGCACTGCTGGGTATGGTAACACATGCCTGTAATCCCAGCACTCAGGAGGCTAAGGCAGGAGGATCACTGTAGTTCAAGGCCAGCTTGGACTATAAAGTGAGTTCAAGCCCAGCCTGAGCTGCATAGTGAAGCCTTGCCTCAAAAGGACAAAAAAATAAAAGGTACAGTGGTACCTTGGTTAATAGTACACACCAAGCTATGCAGGTTACAACTTTTAGAATCATCATTATCCTTCCTCTTGCTCATTTTCCACCTCCAACAAAGCCACAATAAAGAAGTTCTATTGGTTTAATCTTTCAGATGTTTCCGGAGTCCATGACCTCTTTTTTATTTCTGTGCAACTCCCCTAAGGCAATGCTTTGCTGTCCCTTTTCATGCAGTAGCCTGGCTTCTGCTCTCTTCTCTCCTTTGGGCACTGCATGCATTCCTACTAGTCATCCTTTTCTAAAACATCATTGTTCATGTCATTCACCTACTTAATCTTACCCTTAGCATAAAGCCTAAGTTGACTGATAGACCACCGAAGACTCAATTCCACTCTCCCAAGCTTATTTGCCTCTTCTTGATGGCCCACGCATGGACAGCCCTACTCAGAGCAGTCTCTCTTCAGTGAGCAGCAGCTCAGACCTCCACACGGCTTGGCAAGGCTGTGTCACTTCTGCCCCTCCCCACTTTGTGGGATGCTACTTGCCTTGTTAAAGCCCATATAGCATACAGCCTTTGTGAAATCTTCCCAAAAGTAATAGAGTATGTTCAAAACATGCTCTAGAAGCCAGAAGGTAAGAGTCTGAACTTTACTGTAACTTTGGCCAAGTTATTTAATCACTCTGTGCCTCGGTTTGACTCCTACTTCACATGAAGCTTATCTCAAGATATATAAAATCCAAACAGATGTAGATTCCTTTTTCACATGAGGTCTATCTTACTATGTATTTTGATAAAAGGCCTATAAAAACAACAATTGTATGACCATTTTTTTCCTTTTAACTTTATTAGCAAAAATATTCTCTTGGTATTCAGTGCTTAATGGTCAGATTTCCATTCACATAAATTTCTCTGATGTACTCTAGAATTAAATAACAATTACAGTTGAAGGAGATATAGAAAAACATATGGTATGCATTTCAACTTTTTCTTCAAAAATTAACTTCTGTATGTTTGGCATAATACTTCTCAATCCACCTTTACTAATTTGCTCACTAGACTAAGCCAAAACAAAACCTTATCAAAACATTCTTGGTTCTGAATTATAAGGTATTAGTGATTCATTTAAAATTTTAAATCTTTACATGATCTTTATCATAGTCATTCTTATTCCTCAACTTGGTTCTAAAGCCAAAACTTCAGTAGTGGAGTGGGATGAGAATGCCCTGCACCTAAGCAGAGGAGGGGAAGCAGGAGTAGTGAAACTCAGGTGAGTTGGGAAGGGTAGCATACAGAGGAGGGAGTGTGTGCATGTATTTAAAATATGCATGTGTGATCACATGTAACCCCCCCATCTCCTGAGGTAGAGGCACTAACACCTAAATCATAAGGAACATATCTCATGCACAGATCTTATCCTACAAATTGCCAGTAAAATGTGAAAGGATGGCTGATTCCACAGTTGAGGCAAGTACAAAACGAATCTGGAAAATCCTATTGTGCTGAAGTTAAGACGGTGCCTTTAAAATGGTGCAAACATGTCATAAGAACACAGAAACCAACCTAAAGAGGTTCCCACTGACCAAATTTGACACAATTTGAGATTCTGTAACATTATAATCTCTTGAGTAGAAAATCACAAATCTACACTGTTGTTAATAAATTGAAATTCTGATTTTCAGAGTAGGATCTATACATTAGTTTTAGAGTACATCTCCACAAAATACTTAGGAAGGGAAAAGTAGTTCCCTTACAGTAAAGCAGCCCAATATTGTAAACAAGTAATCAAAATGAACACCATCAGAAATGGGGCAGATTAAACTGCACTGCCTAACAGAATGCAATGAGAATGCAGAATAGCATTGGCAATTCCTGCCAAGGAGCACAACTGAAACCCAATTAAACAAATCCAAGTGTAAGGACAAAATTACTTGCCTATAATCTACAAACTGCTAATGGTCCCAAAGGTCCAACACACACTAAGGAACTATTCCAGAATGAAAGACACTACAACCCAAGGCAACACATGATGTTCAACTGTAACCTACTAAAACATTACTGGGACAACATGTAAGGCCTGAATGAGTTCTAGCAATGTAACTTCCTAAACTCAATGGCTGTGCTGTAGTTATATAGAAGACTTTCTTCTTTTTTTGAAATACAAAGGTATGGTCATATCATGGCAGCAATATACTCCAAACAGGAAAAAAATTTATTTGAACTGTATTTATAACCCTTCTGTAAGTCTGAGATTGCTTCAAATTTTTCTTGAAAAAGAATACACAATCAGTTAAATTCCTAAAGGGTTGATAAAGGAGTTTAATATGATATGTAACCCTAAAAAGACAATCTTAATTTTGGTGAACTTTGTCCAATTCCTGTATCCACTATGCACATACATGTTTTGGTTTGGTGTCTTTAATTTTCCCGGCATTTTTCTTATGCGTAATTTTCAGAATCAAATCTTTCTCCCTGCCATTGGCAGATTCATAGGTGTTAGTCAATAGAGAAAGGTTACATAAATTCTGTTTTTGAAATCAAACAAAAATGTAGGTATTACTACAAAAATAACTTCTCCCCCTTGTGGTAAAAATTGCAAATACATTCTACTGGAGAATCTTAATAGGCACTTAGTATTCATTTCTTAGAAAGTATTCTGATATAATTTCATGTGAATCCCATATATTAGCCTTGAAATAATACACAGTATTTGCAAAAAATAGAGGTAGTTTCATAGTTTTCTTTAGGTCAACAATGTCCAGATTTCATTTGGTGTTTGGTTAGCAAAAAGTTGCAGCTTTGATAAAACTGCCACAACGAAAGCCACAGGAACCAAGGTTAGTGACAGTATCAAGTAAAATCTTCAGCAGGCAAATAGGGGTGGCCTCATTGAGAGGTATCTGCCTATTTAAGATTACAGGGATAACTGCAAAGATTCCCACCTCTCAGAGCGTAATCTCAAAAATCTGAAAGTCCACCACTGGAAATTAATTCCTTTGAATTGATATTTATCTACTCTTCACTGAGTTTAGTAATGTAAAGACATGCAAGAAAGGACATTTTCTTCATTTAAGATTTTCAGTGGTGAAAATAAAGGAAGACCATCTGAGCTGCAAATGAAACCTAACTTTCTCATTCCATGTTCCTACTACCACTCTTAATCCTCCATATTCCTTCCTATTAAGTCACCAGGCACTGATAATTCTATGTTTTACTGACCTTTCAATGATTATAAAGTTTAATTTAAGTGATTTCTGAAAGTACACTTAATTCATTTTCAGACTTTTAAATTAAAGTGGCTCAGTTGGATACTGTCTCTTAAACACAGTAATATAAATATTAGTATCTTGGCTAAAATGAATTATTGACAATTTTAATACATGTTGCACAGTACATATTAATATAGAAAAATACATGTTATCAGCAGCATAATGTTGACCATGTTCTAATCCATTCCACCTGCTCAAATATTAGTACAAATAATTATATATTTGTAATGCATCACTGCTGTCTAGCATAAATCTGTGCCTTCTGAATAAATGACTTTCCTCAGAGGTTGTTTGCTATTTGGAGTATGATATATTCCTATTTAAATTGGCTTTGTATGGTGAGACAGACTGCAACCTTCTAAACCACTTAGCAAATGAACAAGTATGTTTAATTACTTTCTCCCCCCAGCCCCAAATAGACATTCAATCTTAAGAACTGAAGTTTACTGGTACCTATTAAATAACATTGATAAAATATACAGGGCCTAAGTTTACAAATATAAATTTTGTTAAGCCCAGGGTTATCAGCCTAGCTGCTGCAATTCATAAAGTAAAATTATTATTCTCTATTGTGTCAGTTTTCTCTAAACACTTTACAGGTTGTTTCCCCATGAAATATCCAAAGAGAAAAGATTGATCAGTGATAGGAATAAAAAGTAATAAATAGGTAAGGCAATTTTTGACATACAATTATATATAAATGAATACAGATAATATAGTATTGGTAGCATTATATTACTACTTTTTGCCCTACATTTTTGATACAGGATGAGCCACTCATAAAATCCCAACACACTAAACAGCTAACAGAATTAGGAAGCTTATGACATTTAAAGTAGTCTGTTTCTGAAGAGGGCAATACTGAGTTCTCATACCTTCTAAAACAGAATTGCCATTTTGTTCCGTGTTACAAAATATGGTACAAGACACCTGGACTCTTTCTAATGTGAAAATTATTAAGAAAAATATCATAATTGTATAAAACTTACTAAGGAGAACTTTGTGATGGACATATTTCTATTGGGTACAAACAAATTACAATTTCTTGACTACTTACATAATTTTAAAACTAACTCAAAAAAGTATGACCACACATTGAACACATAAAACAAAGTAAAGGATCTATTTAATGTTACATAAAGAAAATAATATATGGAACATAAGAGTGAATGAGAAGGACTTAAGATTTTAGATCTGTGCTTTTACCACCTGTACACCTTGATGGTTCTATTTTCCTGTTTATACCTTAGATTCTTCATCTGTCAAATGGGAATAATGGTACCCAAATCCTAGGGTTGCTTTGGAATCAAGTAATACATGTAAAGGACTTAGCATAGTGCATGGGACTTAAGTCAAACAAATGTAGCTATAATTATCTTTATTAGGCACTAAATCTTTAAAAATTGCTGACTATTGCTTACTTCATGTACAATTATTTAATTTAACAACATGGACAGCTCTTTTCTTCCAAAGTACATACTGTATCATAGGGTAAGCCTTCTCACGCAACGATAAATAGTACAGGAACTGAATATAATTAAAATAATTTGATGACATCATAGACTGCTTTCTTCATCAAAAAGATGGAAAATTCTATATGGTTCTGGAAAACATCTCATATTTCTAAGAAATCAGTAAGGTATGTGGCAGAATAGTTTTGCATTAAAAACATGTTAATCTCCCAGGTATGAATAAGCCTTTTTAGTCAGCAAAACATGCTGAGTGACACTTGCTGTCTCCCACACACAGTTCAAGAATGCCTTCACCACTACCACATCAGCATGACCACTTAAAGGAGTTTGTGGCATTTTAGGAACCAGTATCTCTTTACCTGGATACTTATAAATATTCACCATCACACATGAGGAAGAGTCATCTTAAGGAACCAATAAATTCTCCACTTGGAATCAATCTATTACTGAAGTAATTTCACTCTGAGCCAGAGAGCTAGTATTCACAAAGTAAAATATTTAGAAGTGAAAGGAAAGAAAATGGTTTAATATATAACAATAAATTAACCTGTCTAAAATTTTAACTTACTTTAAATTTACCTACTTTAGCACACTTTTTTTAATAACAAAAGAAACTAAAGACCAGCAACCATGATGGTCCTCCTCAAAATGAGATCAAAGATTGTCTTGGAATAGTCAGATGATCATCCAGTGGTTACTGAACAATTCTTCATAACACTCTTCATCAATTCTGATTGACTGTCCTTTGTAATAGCTTAGCTTACAGAGGCCAGACTTTCTTCTTAAAATAGTGTTCTGAATTTCACATAATATACTGAAGCTTTAGAAAACAACCTGCTGTACTTACAGCATATTTTCAGTTTCAATGGACTAATTACATACTGTGTATAGCTCATGAGAACTGTGGAATACTGCAAAAATGTTCCTCTGATTTAAATGTTCGTAAAAGCTACTAAGCTCTATTATCGCTACTTAAAATTTCACTATGTGCACATAAAACATTCTATTTGTTAACTCTTTTGAGTTATACATTTTGGGCTACATTTTGCGATGGCAATATATGAAAATATGGTCAGACTACAAAGAATGCTGATTGCTTCATACATCTTTTTTTCTTCTTAAAGAAGATTTTCTAAGGTTGAATTTCTAATTCTAATCTTGTTTATATAGTCAGTACTTTTCTGTGGAAAAAAAGAAGTGAGAAGACTTATGCTATGAAAAATAAGGAATATCTCAAGCTTCTAAATAAAAATTTTATAAAATTCACTAGGGATGTCCTTGAAATAGAGAGTGAAATAAAAAAAAAAAAACAATTGCAGGGAATTTGTTTATTGAGCATTAATGTTAACACTTCTAAATTTTGTATTTATTTATGAGTTTTGTCACTGTCCTGTCAATGGACATGATGGAAAATACTGCACAGAACTCAAGCATGGAAGAAATAATTAACAAAATATCTAAGCAACAAGTAAATGCTTAACATTTAAAAAATTAATCCAAACAAAGTAATTTGAAGCGCTTCTCTGATTTGGAAGTTTTAAGTGTCATCTCATGTTTTATTTGAGTTTTTTGTTTTTGTTTTTGTTTTTTTTTACAAATTGACACTGTACAAAGAGTTCAAATGGCCAGTAAAACTACTGCCTTAAAATTGTTGGCTTTAAGTAACAGAGGTATAATTTGAATTCACATAAGAGTTTTCTAAAATGGCAACAGTACAAGCATATGACTTTTTGTTGAAACCAAAACCTGTTCTGGCTCTCCCTTGGCTAAGCAAAGAAATGTGGAAAGCCTTCTAAAGCTGCCACGAAATGGTTTTGACATCCTAAAATGCTTTGACAAAAGTTGGCATATTTTATTTCCCTTGCATACCTTGATAACACTGGGCTAAACAGAAAATGAAAAAATTCAGTCAATGGTAATTTAAACAGTAGTTAGCTCTGGACTTTGAGGGTTTGGTAAAACTGATAACCATTTAGAATCAGATTCTAAGAAGAAAAGTAGGTTTCCCAAATTAGGCCAAAAAGCCTACATTTAAGAAAAAATTGCCAAGAATGAAATAAACATTAAAAAGTTTGTCTGATTCCTGGAAGACTATGAGCAACACAATGGAAGCTGAAACACTATATTTAATTTAGAGTACATTCTTGCAGAGCAAATTTATAAAGCTTAATAAAGTAATGGCCTTTCTAAATTTTTATTTCATGTTTAAAATTTTGTAAGTAATTTATTATGTCACCATATTAAGCCAATTCAATTAACCATAGCCAAGTAGAAGTAACTTTAGAAATGGCTTGAAAAGGATAACGAAAGAAACTACAGATCTGAAAATTAATCAGTCTTTGCAAAACTTATGTCCAAACTTATAATACATAATGTTGCCTATCAATTCCCCATTCCTCATTATAAGTAGAAGATTACCAGCAGGTTTAGCAGTCACATTTTATTCAAGTTTATCAGTAGGATAAAAATCTTAAAGAACTGCATTGTTCCTAAACGTTTACTTCTCATATGCACCACTTAAGACTATCCCTCACTTCTTTATTTCCCTTAGAATATTAAAGCAATGAATAAATATGGTCCTTTAGTTAAGGCCTTCTACCTTAAGTGAAATATAAAATAAGGTAGTTTTATTAATTTTTTACTAGAATTGGCTTAAAATCTACTTACCAAAGATGGAATAGTAAACTTTAAATTTTACCCAGAAAGCAGATGTATTCTGATTCACTCCTAATGTCTGCATAAAACATCATTTTAGTTTAGCTCACAACATTTTCTTGGAATTGTATCTCAGAAAAAGTTCTATTCAACAAAACTACAGAAATTATACTTGCTAATCTCTGAAAGAGTCAACAAATTCTTTAGGAAAATCTACAATAATCTGGTTAACAATTACCAGTATTGAAAAGGTCATTAAAAATTGATGAATAATAAATGTGGGGTTTTGTTTTGTATTTTACCTAGTATTAATGCAAAATGGGATGATAAAATTTCCAGATGGAATATGTTAAAGAACTAGAACCAGACACTGGTAAAATTTCACTTGCCTTCTGACACCAACATTTTTTCCAGAATGAAAAAAGGTACATGTAGTTTTACAGAATTTAAAATGTATTAAATTCAAGAATGGAATTAAAATTCAACTTAGCACGAAAAAAAGTAAATACAGTTAGTGGAGTCCAAATTTCAAATAAAACCTCAAGGGTAAGTATGGCTGCTGTTTTCTTCCAGTCATTTTTCCATGAAATGTTGGCTGTGTCGTAAGGAATCTCCTGTGCTTTCTATCAACTGAGGCCTGTTGAAATACAATACATTTCCTTTGTCAATTTAACCTCAGCTGAAGTGTCGAGCAAGGCGGGCAGATCTATAGTCAGCACGAAGTTGTACGAAGGAGTGAAGTATGTTCTTGTCCAGATTTGCAAGTTGTTCTCCTGAGCAGACTTGCTTTAAATTATCTGGGGCAACTACAAGAAGGTTGCAAAGTGCATGCAGAGTATCAAAAAGATGTAATACCATTGGAATCTGAATGGAGAGAGGAAAAAATAAAACTGAAACAAAATTAATTTCCCATTTTATAATTATGTTTACAAATTCCTCTTACATACTGCCAGTCAGGACTTACTAGTATGGAAGGAATTCAACATATTAAAAATTCTGAAAGCTGAAGAGTTAAAACTCACAGATTTAAGTAGTTATAGAAACTATAATCTTTTGAAAAGATTCCTATTATGTCAATTTTCTCAAAACTGTATTTTGGTAGACTAGAATTAGTTATTAATTTAAGCCTTTGGTGAAAAATGATTTCAGAGAGACATACATGAAAAAAGAATATTATCCTGTGTGACATATTCAGCATTAGCTATGGCTATCAATAAGGCCATTTACACTATGCAACTAAAATATAACCAGTTATCTAAAAGTTATCTAAAATATAACCAGTTATCTAACCAGTTATCTAAAAGAAAGCAGTGAAAAAAATGTGTTAATATTGAAAAAATACGACTGGAGCAGTTTTTCAGATAAGATGTGTTAGATACATCTCATTACAGAAACAAATTATGAACACTTCAATAATCATTACAAGTCAATACAGACTTTCAATGGTCTGACTTATGTTCCTGACCATATTTGTAGGTTTGCTATTTGTATATACATACCTTGAAGTCTTTGGCACACTTTCTATATTCAGCAACATCACAAATTGCTAACATGCCACCCATACAACTGTAGGAATATTGTTGAAGATGTTCATAAATAAGTCGATGAAAACGTACTCCAAGTTCCATCAAAACTGTATCCACATTTTTCCCATCCATGGAATTTTTTATCTTCTCCACTTGCTTTCTTACGTAAGCGCAGACTTTTACACAGGCCTATAAAAGTTTTTCTACACTTATTAAATGATATGTGTATCAGTTTAGCTAAGGACAAAATATATATAATTTCTCCAGAATCTCTAAGTATAAAAGAAAAAATTTAGGACATAGCAAGATATATTGGTGAAAATGTTAAAGTATTAACAAAGGAGATACACTTATTAGCAAAATAAATTAATTTTACTTACATTAGTATACTGAATTAAAACATTGTTTTCATCTTCTGGCTTAAAATCTGTTTTCTTTTGTTCTGAAGCTAAGATATGCTTCATCTGTCCAATCATACAATTTAATGTCCTAGAGAATTGAGAATACAATATATTTGATTCATTTAATTTATTCAACATTTGTTTTTATTTACATTTATACTAAATTAAAATTTAATTTCATGTTATTATAAAACTATTTTGTTATTTGTAAACTTCAGACTGTATGTAATTATAGGTCTTGATATCAAAAACCTCAAGACTTTATTACAAAAGCAAAAATTCTTTGCTCAATATTTGGAAATCTTAAAGACCTCAAAGTCTGTTACTAATTTATTTCCTTTATAACTAAGGTCTTCCAAAGGCAAAACTAGATAAGAGAGAATGTTTAGAAAGGTAGGAAGATAGTGGGCTTAAGAAGAATAGATATGGTTTGGAAAAATGGATGCAAGGAAAATGAACCTCAAGTCTAAGGACAACAAAGAGGATGACATGTTACTAAAGATCCAGATGAGAAATGAAGGCATGAATTTGTAATGCTACATATATGAGTTAAGCATTTTCTCCAACAGCAAGCAGCTGCTTCAATTATGGCAGCAGATCACATCAACCCAGAATTCATAGTGCCTAAGACATTTATGATTAAAGGCAATGGATTTTAGGGTAAATACAATATAGTAATTCTAGAACTGGACCAAGTCACTGAGTGAAGTCAATAATGAAGTAAAGTTAGAAAAAGGATAAAGGATTGACACGATAAAGAGATTAAAGCACAGAGGTTTTGTTAAAGTCAAAAAACGGTTTGTGGAGAACTGAAAAGAGGTTGCAGATACAGAGTACGATATTCAGGTTCGAGGCTTTATTAACAATGATAACAAAGTACAGTGGAGCCTAGGAAGAGACACTTAATTGGAGATTATCAAGGAAATAAACAGCTTACTCACAGGCATGGAAAGAACCTGACTTAAGGTTAAAAGTTTTCTTTCACCATTTTTATGATGCAACAGATATTCAAATCCTGACATAAAAGACAGAGATGACAGCAACAAGAAAGAAAAGATAAGAAATTCAGACAAAGGTATTCTGACCTAAGGTAGGGGGGAGGAGAGATACATCAGCAGCAGTGCAAATGAATGCTGAGCCTGCCCTCAAAGTCACACTGAAGGGACCTCCACAGACCCCTCCACCTTTTTTTCTCTTAATTTTAAAGAAAAAAAAATACAAACAATGATACAGAATTTCAAAACAAAATAACAGGAAATTAACAATGGTTAATAGATTGCATATTGTTATCTTCAAAGTAGTTACTCAGATTATTGATCAAACAATATAGGCACAAACCCTTCCTTTCAATGGACTAACAGAGATTAGTAGCATAATTATCTTGGCTATCGTGTGTGTGTGTGTGTGTGTGTGTGTGTGTGTGTGTGTGTGTGTATTCTCTTTTCCCTTCCTTCTTTTCTCCTTTCCCTCATCCCAGTTGTTCTTTCCTTTTGAGCAGTTTCTTTCTCTTTCACAATATCTACTGTACTTTTTTTTTTTACCTTATTTACTCTTTCAGTTTCTTACACTAGGGAGAAAATTGGATGTTTACACATGTCAAAGTCTGTGATGTAAGGGTGCCTCAATACATGCAAACTAGTAAGCATGATAAACTAAACAGAGTGAAAGACAACATCATATAACTACTAGGAGAGATCAGAAAAAGTATATGGCAAAATTCAACAACCTTTCATGATAAAAATTCTTAATGAGTTATATATTAAAAGAAATATTCCTATATGACAGGTCCACAGTTAATATCATAGTAAACAAGTAAAAGTTGAAAGCTTTTTCTCTAAGGTAAGAAACAAGACAAGAATGCCCACTCTTACCACTTCAATGCAACATAGCAATGAAAGTCCAGCCAGAGAAATTATGCAAGAAAAAGAAGTAAAAATCTTATACACTGAAAAGGGAGAATAAAGTTGTCCCTGCAGATGACACGACCTTATACAGAGGAAATTTTAATAAAAACTCTTATCAAAAAACTGTTAGAACTAGTAAATGAATTTATTAAGGTTTCAAGATGAAAAAATAAATGTACAAAAATCGGTTCTAAACATTAACAATAAACTATCTATAGCAATAAACAATAAACTATCTAACAATAAAAAAGAAATAAAACAATGCCATTTACAATAGTATCAAAAAGAATAAAATACTTAGGAATTAACTTTCTGAAGGAGGAAAAAGACTTATACATTGAAAACTATAGAGCACTGCTGAAAAAATTCAAAGACACAAATGGAAAGACAACCCATGTTCATGAATGGGAAGAATACTGTTAAAATGTCCACCTATTCAAATCAGATACTGACTACCGTATTCTCTATCATAATTCCAATGGCATTTTTCACAGAAATGGGAAAAAAATCCAAAAATTCACATGAAACCACAAAAGATCCTAAGTAGCAAAAGTAGCCTTGAACAAGTGGCACCACACTTCCTGTTTTCACTTGTATAGAAAGAGACACACAGGCCAAGACAACAAAACATAGAGCCCCAAAGTAAACTCATGTTTTTATAATCAACTGATTACTGATCAGGATGCCAAAGACATACAACAGAGAAAACACAGTTTTCATTAACTGATGCTGAGAGCTGGATAGGTGGCACATGCCTGTAAACCCAGCACTAGAGAGACTGAGGCAGGAGGATCGTTGCAAGTTCGAGGCCAGCCTGGGCTACAAAGTGAGCTCAAGGCCAACCTGAACTGCATAGGGAGATCCTATCTCAAAAAGACAAAAAAAGAAAAAAAAAAAGTGGGGGAACATGAAGTGGTGCTGTGAAAATCAGTAGTCCACACAGAGAAGAATCTGTGTGGACCTTTATCTCACACCATACATGTAAAATCAACTCAAAATGGATTAAAGACTTTAACATTAGTCATTAAATTGTAAAATGACTAGAAGCAAACATAAAGAAAAACTTCTGGACATTGGTTCTTTGGATATGACCCAAGTAGCATGGGCAACAAAAGCAAACATACACAAATAAGAGTGTGTTGAGTGAAAGGGTTACTACTAACCACAGAAAATAAAAAAATGGGCCAGGGATTTAACTCAGTGGTACAGCACCTGCCTGGCAGGCATGAGGTCCTGAGTTTGTTACCAATACCCCCCAACCCCCCCAAAGAAAATAATCAACAGTGTGAAAAGACAACCTACAGAATAGGTGAAAGTATTTGTAAACCGTACCTAAGGGATTAAGATCCAGAATATATAAGAAAGGCAAACTCAGTAGCAAGAAAAAAACACAGCACACACACACACACATACACGTAAATTTAGAAAAAGAAAAGATTCTCATTAAAAGAATACACACAGATGACCAACAGATACATGACAAGGTGCTCAACATCACAAGTCATCAGGTTCGTGTACATAAAACCACAATGAGATCACTTCACACCTGCCAGGATGCATAATAGCCTAAAAGGATGACACATGTTTCCTAAGGAATGGAGAAAAGGAAACTCTTGTACACTATGATGGGAATGTAAACTGATATAACCATTATGGAAAATAGTATAGAAGTTCCTCAAAAATTAAAAATGGAACTACCATTCAATCTAGCAAACCAAGTATTGGGTGCACATCCAACAGAAATGAAATTAGTACCTTGAGGAGGTACTTGATTTTCCAGGTCTACTGTAGCATTATTCAAAATAGCCAAGAGGTGCAAACAAGGTAAATGTCCTCTAAGGATGAAAGGATAAAGAAAGCGTGGTATATTTATACAATGGGGTTGTTATTGAGCCTTTATAAGGAAGGGAATCCTTTCATTTGTGAGAACATGGATGAACCTGAAGTACATTTTTCTAAGTAAGTAGATGCAGAAAGACAAATACTATATAACTTCATTCACATGTGAAATGTGAAAAATAAAATTCATGGAAGCACATACTACAACTGTCGTCGCCAACAGATGAGGCCCATGGTAGAAAAAAATAGGGAAACATTCTCTAAAGAATCTGTTATGCAATTTCAGTTATGCACGCTGAGTTCTACAGATATAATGTATACTATGGTGACTATAACTGATAGAATTATATTTATACTTTAAATTTGCCAAGTCTAGATCTCACATTATTACAAGGATAAACAGCAGTAATAGAAATTGCATTTTACAGAAATATTAAATCTGCTGGAACAGGTAAAACTCTTGAAGACATTGGTGTAGGCAAAGACATCATGTATAAAACCCCACTCACACAGGAAATATCACAAATAATCAACAACTGGGACCTCATCCTATTAAAAAGCTTTTGCACAGCAAGAGAAACCACCAACAGAGACAACCTACAGTGTGGAAAAAAAAGTTTGCTACCTGTTCCTCAGACAAAGAATTACTATCTAGAACATATAAAGAACTCAAAAAAAAAAAAAAAAAAATCAAACCTCCCCAATTTAAAGACTCAATCCAAAAATGGGCGTTTGAGGTGAATACACACTTCTCAGATGAAGAAATACAAACAGCAAATAAATATAAAAAAATGTTGAACATCACTGGTCATTCGAGAGATACAAATTAAAACAACACTGAGATTCCATTTCACTCCAAAAAGAATAGCTACATCAAGAAATCAACCAGTAACAAATGCTGGAGGGGCTGTGGGGAAAAAGAAACCTTCTCCACTGCTGGAGGGAGTGTAGAGTGATGCAACTACTGTGGAGATTCCTTGAAAACAGGATTGGAGATCCCATATGACCCAGCTATTTCCCTTCTGGTTATCTTCCTAGAAGAATTAAATACATCATACCACAGCAATATATATGAGCCCATGTTTATAGCAGCACGATTTGTAATAGCTAGATCTTTAAAACAACCCAAATGCCCATCAACCAAGGAATGGATAAAACAGATGTGGTTGTTTTATACAATGGAGTGCTACTCAGCCATAACGAAGGATGAACTGGAGACTTTTACAGGTAAATGGATGTAACTCAAGACCATACTCATAAGTGAAGTAAACTAGACTCACATGTGTAAACATCGTATTGTCTCCCTAGTGTAAGAAGCTGAAAGAGTAAATAAGACGCAAAATGT